CTGTGTCAGCATCCCTGTGTCAGCATCCCTGTTTCATCATCCCCGGTTCAGCATCCCTGTGTTAGCATCCCTGTGTCAGCATCCCTGTTTCATCATCCCCGGGTCAGCATCCCTGTATTAGCATCCCTGTGTCAGCATCCCCGTGTTAGCATCCCTGTGTCAGCATCCCTGTTTCAGCATCCCCGGGTCAGCATCCCCGTGTTAGCATCTCTGTGTCAGCATCCCTGTGTCAGCATCCCCGGGTCAGCATCCCCGTGTTAGCATCCCTGTGTTAGCATTCCTGTGTCAGCATCCCCGTGTCAGCATCCCCGTGTCTAAGAGTATCGAAGAACCCACCAAGCGGTACTAATTGTGAATATTAGCAATCTCGGTGGTAAGTACGTACGTAAGAGGGTCGTATTGATTTTCTGATGATGGCACGTACGACTCACCGTGGCGCACGTGTACGTGTGTGCCGGTGAAGCAGCGGTGAAGGCAGGCGTGAGTCACGAGGGGTCGCCGTGCCCCCACCCCTGCCACCTCGCGCTGCGCCGCGCCGCGCCGCGCCGCGCGCCAATATCCTCGCAGACTATGAGCGAGCGCTGCGATGAGTCATTGCCGCGCGGTCTTCCCCGCCCAGTGAATCACTGAAGCTATATGACGGCGGCGGCGGCGGCGGCGGCGGCGGCGGCGGCGGCGGCGGCGGCGGCAGCGGCGTCAGTGTTTGAGACCGGGTGCGTGTGGTCGTCACTGCAGCGCATTAAAATTTAGCCAAGAGCGAGATAACGAAAAAACGCCTATAGAGATTGTGTTTCCATGCGGAATGTTTCTCCATGTAGAGGGACTGTGAAGATCGATAAGGCTCGCAGCGTCCGTCATCGGGTTATTGAATCTAAAATTATATGTAAACATTTTTTTTCATTCGAGATATTTGCGGCATATTGTGTGAGCACATGAAAGGATTAAAGGCTATTGTACCCCGTTGGCGCTAGTACTGCTGCTGCCGCTGCGCCTGATGATGATGTTCGCGGTGCTGTCGCAGTTATTGTTACGCCTGCTGCTGCAGTTATTATTATTATTATTACGTAAAAATCATCTAATTAATAATGTGTTATCGTTGTTATTACTATACTTTTCGTTAATGCTGTAGCCGTTGTTGTTAGTATGAAATGATAATGAAATCGTTCCCACACCTCTTCAATCGCTATTTTTCACTGAGCGTTACCAATTAGATAATATCGTAAATAAATAAATGAATAATAAAATAAATAAATAAGTAAGTTAATAAATAAATAAATAAATAAATAAATAAATAAATAAATAAATAAATGAATGAATGAGTGAATAAATAAATAAATAAATAAATAAATAAATAAATAAATAATTAAATAAATAATTAATGAATTAAATAAATAAATAAATAAATAAATAAATAAATAAATAAATAATTAATTAAATATAAATAAATAAATAAACAGTGTTATTTCCGTAAATATGTATTCCGTAACATTCATCCCGTTTCAGGTTCTACACCGGGGTAACTGGCAAGGTCGACAACGATGACGATACTTCTGCGCCTCGCTCTCGCGCTGCTCTCTGTGGCCGCAGCCTGCAGCGCCACCCGGTGTCCGCAGCGATGCCTGTGCGTCGCTCCGAACCACGTCGTCTGCACGGCGTTGTCGCTGACGGAGATACCGGCCGACACGCCCCCGACGACCGAACAACTGGATCTCAACGGCAACCTGATCACGCGCCTGCGCACGGACGCGTTCGCCAATCTGCCCAACCTGAAGTCTATCAACCTGCAGAACAACCGGATATCCGTCATCGAGCCGTACGCCTTTCGCGGCCTGCGCGACATTGAGAGTCTGCACCTGCAACAGAATCCGCTGACGTCACTCGCCGCGCATGCGCTCGGCGGCATACGCAACGCGGGCTTCATCGACCTCGGCCACAACGCCATCGCCAGCGTCGAAGCGTACGCGTTCGCAGCGACATCTAACGTCGACACCATCTCGCTGTCGTACAACCCGCTGACGACGCTGCGCGCGCACGCGTTCGATGGTCTGCATCACGTGACGCAGCTGACGCTCGCCGGCACGTCTCTGCAGACGATCGAGCCGGACGCCTTCCACAACCTGTCGCGCGTCGGTGAGCTCCTTATCATGCGCGCGCCGCTAAAACGTATCCCCTCTTTTGCGTTTCGCGGCCTGCGTGAAGTAGGCGTGCTGCGCATCAGCGGTGCGCGCGTGGAGACCATCGAGGCGGGCGCGTTCGCCGGAGCCGAAGACATCGGCCGCATCGACATCGCCAACGTTGGCATCAGCGACATCGCCCCCGGCGCGTTCGACGGGGTACGAAACGTCGGCGATCTCAACCTGGCCGATAATGATCTCGTTACACTCCGACAGGGGGCGCTCGATGGTCTGAACGGCGAAGTGAAGCGGCTGCACTTCGGCAGCACGCGCTTCGTCTGCGATTGCCGCATGCGCTGGCTACTCGCCTACAACGCCTCCGCTCGCCTCGACCCCGATCACCTCGCGCAAGTCACGTGCTCGCTGCCCGAGCAGTACCGAGGTCAGCCGATCGCTCACGTCGACTTCCGAGCGCAGAGCTGCCCGCCGGTAGATGTCCCGCCGGTCGAGAATATGCCGTACATACGTGGCAAGGAGCATAACGATGGCAACGCCGGCGTCGCTCGCAGCATTTCGAGCTTCGCGATTCTCCTTCTTGTTGGTCTTCATCTGATATTCGAATGTCTAGTGGCGTTTTAGCACGGACGCCGTTATATAATCAACGCCGTAGTTTAGTTAGCAATCAGTAAACATATGCAATCAATAAGCATTAGGTATCAACAGGAGGCGAATAATGACAAATTATGAAATGACAAATTGAAAAAAACCAATTGAAAAAACCAATCACAAATTAAAAAAAAAACAAATTAAAAAAACAAATGACAAATTAATTCTGTCATTATTTACCCCCTAGTATTAATAAGGTATCTAGGTAGGCATTATATAGATATATAGCCGATGTCTGCTGGCGTAGTGTCCATCTACAGCAGAGAATAGGCGCTAATGCACGAACCGCACCTTTTATCGCAGCGTTCGATCTGATATTTATCTTATATCTTTGATCACGGATTTTTAGCTCTGACCTAGCTGATATCGATCAATGTGATTCACATGACGAGCATATCTCACGCCTAACCGATGAATCGGCGCTAATTCGCACTAGATGGCGCTGTGATCGTTATGGCGTTGTATATCATAATCTTTCTCGGCATTTACTTGACGCGATGCTGCGTGATGATTGCCATCGAAGTTTTCGTTCTTTCCTATCTCTTTTCAAGTGACCTAACTACTGTATCTAAATCGCGCCATACTATGTCTTAGCGTGAGCTAATGATTTGACGAAACCCGGTGCAAATAGCGGGAGGGGCCGCAACGCCTATCGATAATCTATCGCGGCTCTTAACACGGCCTTAGAGGGACTGTGTCGAATCGCCAACTTCCTACAGAGAACAAGAATGCAGCAGCAGTGAGCCGCAGCGACCTGGTAGCACGCCGTCTATACATCGTAGATGACGACACTGACGATAGTAATAGCGGGCAGCGAGGCGATGAAGACAATGAGGCGGGCAGCATGGTGAAAGTCTGATAAATTGTTGCATGATCACAATAACATAATATACGCGTAGAGTGACAATGTAGAGGAATAGTGCAGCATAGATAGATGAGCACATTTTCGCACGCGCTGCCCGTCCATCCAACTCCAGTCTTCACAAAACCGTGAAGGATTCTTCACACCGCCCATCCCCTATATAGCCCACCTTACTCAAACCAAGCCCTTACCCAATAAAACCCCCCACTTACCCATCCTGACGCAACTCCACCCACCACACTTCCCTCTACCCACGCGCAGGTCCATACCTAGCCAACCCCAGCTAACCTGATTCAACCCCTACCCCATTCATACTCTACCAAATATAACTGCATCCAACCCAACCATGCTAAATGCATCTCAGTGACTCGCAAAAGAGCTTCGCTTCATTCACGATCTGTTTCCCTCAGTGAACTAATTTTGTTCGTCGTCGCTTTTTTGTGTACATAAATGCTGCAAAATGTGTCTATTTATAGATTTTTGTCCAACATTTTGTGTGAAAGCATCGTGATCCGCTTTGCTCAGGTTTTTCTTATTTACGACCGGTCTTTTCAAATTTTTATAACGATCGCGTGTAAAAATGCGATTTTGTTTTTGCCGATTTTTAACACGAATAAATGGTTGTCGCTCGTGATGTTTCTTTCGATTAATGTCGAGTTCTTTATCTGCATTCATATGCCTGTTTATATATCTGTTAGATCGCTTATCTGTTTATTATATGAAGATCGACTTTATAGGTTTACGAATTTCAAAAAAATTAATTTGTCAAGATTAATTTAAAATAGGAAACACGTATTCACTAGTAGATTAATTTGAAATATGTCTATGATAGCGTTTTATTGCAATGAGCAGTATTATCATGTATTATCAATGAGTAGTATGAGCAGTTATATCTGCTAAAATAGACGAGTACTTCGTTGCGATTGAAGCTTTATAATAGTGAGTGATTCCCAGAATTGAACCCGCCGAAAATATCGTACATGAACGTAATATAGATTGTTAAGTGAGACCTTATGATAGCCATTTAAGGTATCAAACTGCGCATGAGTATCTGCTCTCTACTCTAAATGTATATTTCAAGAAAATACGATTCATTTTGGTAGATGCTGGGTACGAGCGAAACCAGATCCTCTTAACCTTTAAACCAGTCAAAATTCGGGAAGATTCGCTAATGTAGCCGATAATCAAATTTGAGTATATCTATGCTCAGTATCTTCCAAATAATATAATAGACGTCCCATTAACCTCCACATCAGAAGCAATCGTCGCCACAGCAATTCGAATGTTAACTGATAATACCATTATAATCCAGAACGAAATTATGACATTTTACTGCATCCCATCCGCACGACGCGCACACGCGTATTGCAGTCCTATTGTCATCAGCAGCGATAAATCTCTGGCGACTAGCTTGTGCCGGCTGCAAACAGACATGAAGACGCGCCGAGACCGGCTAGGCGTGCAGCGAAGATAAGCGAATCTCACCACGGAGAGTGTTCAATTAAGATAGCGGCCAAAGACGAAATCTCCACGCGCTCAGCTGATCGGTAAACTACGAGCCTCATGAAGCCCTGCAGCAGCAGCAGATACATTGTCCGAGCGCTCTATCGATCTATCCACCAAGCATTCCACGCGCTTCTCACCTTATTTCACCATTCCCCCGTTTTTCATCTGAATGTTCCCGTGAAATCTCCTACCGCCATCTTGTTTTCTCTGTTATCTTTTGACCCCGTTTCAATTACTCAGCGGCGGTAACGTCGAACGTGACACGAGTCAAGTTACATAATACTTTGACTTGGAGATAGATTACTATATTACGAGTCAGGAGAGGAAATACAGTCGTGGCTTTGCTGCATAGGCTTCGTATTGCAATGAGCGGCTCACGTAGGCTCAGAACGACGCTGCGCTTTGATTCCCATGCGAGCAAATCGTGAAAGTGGAATACTGCTTTTAAACTACTATTCGATAGAAACATAGGGTGTAGAGCTAGTGTGTCGGTGCGCTTATGTGTGTGCGTGCATGCATGCGCGCGTGTGTCGCCATAGCCGCGTCTGCAGCTGTTGCTCGGTTCGTGTATCATCTCCGTGTCCATGCGACGCGAAGACGTCATTTACAGCTGTCTTTACCCAGATTCCTGAAATGAAAAAAATAATCTCTAATGTTGTCGGAGCTCAACAACCGAAATAATGATGTAAGCATCCAATCTTGCTTTTTTATACACGTATATATATAATATGTAATATATATATATGTGTGTGTGTGCGCGAGCGAGAGAGAAGATGTAGTCGCTAGTCTCTGAAAGCTTCGCAGATTTCGTAGAGCCCTTCAAATGATTTAGGGCATCACCTGTTCACGAGGGCTTTGCATTTCTTCCCGTTTCCCGGAGAATTCATCGATTTCTAACGCGACGTTACTCATCGCAGAAGAGTCGCCGGATTCCCGCACGCTTCGCGCCGATTCCTTCTCCGCCGCGGTTCAATCAATCAGAAAAACTCTCGGTGGTTTCTCTCGGTGATAAACAGGTTTTGGCGCCGATAGCAGCGTGAGCCTATACCTGTAGTCTATACTTATCCATACCTATACCTATACCTATAGTCGCGGAAACATGACCTATATAGCATAGGGTGGATGCATAGATTGCTATATAGCATAGGTTGGATAGGTTCGATTATTTGTTCAGATTCGCAACTATTAGCAAGGGTGAATAACGACAAAAAATTTGTCAAAAAATTTGTCAACATTTTGTTCCAAAACTCTCTCTCTCGCTCTCTTTCTGCTGCTCGATCATGTCAAATAGTGTGTGCGCGCGCGCGTGTGTGTGTGCGTATGCGCGTGTGTATGAGCGTGCGTCCGTGCGTACGTGCGTGCATGTGTGTGTGTACGCGTGTTAATCTGGTGACAGAGCGGCAGGCAGGTGTCGGTGATGAGAGTGTCGTGTTGTGTTTGTCGCACGACGCGCACGCGTCGCCGTCTATGATCTTATAACAAAACACACAGAGAGCGATAAAAACACCATGAGATGAAAAGCCCCGGCCGCCGCCGCAGCAGCGATCTCTCCTTACATGATGAACACGGCGATTAATTTGGCGCGCTGCCGAGCCGCATCTTCAGGCGGTTTTCTCTCATCGTCAACGAGCGTTCGCACGTGTGTGCGAACACTGATACGAACGAAACATATATAAGTGTAGTGTATAGTATATATAGAACACTATATATAGTGGACTCATCAACGAAGTGTCCTACAGTGTTTACCTGCCATAGTCCAGACTAGGCAGACTCCAGGCGAGAATAGAGAAGGGGTAGTGCGTAGCTGGGGCGTTGTACCACAACTGATGTCGTATAATTACCTAGTACTATATAGGCAACAATAATGTTAATCATAGTAGATCACAGATCGAATTCTTTATGAATACCCCTTCATGAATACCTGGTAGTGATGATAGTAGCAGTAGTAAAGTAGTAGCATTAGTGAACTAGTAGCAGGGACAATGTACCACAATTGATGTCGCATCACTACCTAGTACTCTATAGGCAACAATAACGTTAACCATAGTAGATTACAGAGCTAATTCTCACATAAGTTCCCCTGGTAGTGATGGTATAAGCAGTAGTGAACTAATAGCAGGGACATTGTACCAATAATCATAGTAGATCACAGAGCTAATTCTTACATAAATTCCGCCCTGGGCATACCGTATCTCGAGATGACTCGCAGAATAAACGACAACGCTAATATAGCGCCTGTCAAAACGACGTGTTCAACCGCCAAGGGCGTGGCAATCGCACTGAGGTGTTGCTAGAGAGCATCCCTGTCGTTTGAACAGTGGCTTCGTTCCCGCACCCGACTCAATACGTTAACTAGTTTTATAATGAAAGTTTAACACTCGCTCTCTTGACAGTGACAGTAGTGTTGTTAAATGCGTTGAGTGTCTGCAGCCGAGAGTGGTGATTAAATACTTAGCGGGTCGCAACGTACGTTATAGAATGGCGACAGCGTAGTCGTAATAGGGCAATTTCCCGCGCTTGCTAGTGTAACAATGTAAACGCGTGCGAATACGACGAGCAACTGCGAATAACATAGGAAATTTCGCAAATTTCACGCGAAAGCTGAGTATATGTCAGGTACATCCTCTAACTCTATCGCGCGCACACACACACGCGCGCGCGCGCACACACACACACACACACACACACACACACACACACACACACACACACACACACACACACACACACACATACACACAAACACACACACATGCACACGCACGCACGCACGCACACACACATACATACACACACATACACACACACAAACACGCGCCTTGACGAGGACACATACTCACACACGCACGCACGCACACACGCACGCATGCACACACGCAACCACAAATAATCACGACACATGGTAGCAATGGTACATAATGACATTAATAGAAGTTACTGGCGCGAGCATCTATGAATATTAACTCACACAATAGACGTCCCATTAACCTCCACATCAGAAGCAATCGTCGCCACAGCAATTCGAATGTTAACTGATAATACCATTATAATCCAGAACGAAATTATGACATTTTACTGCATCCCATCCGCACGACGCGCACACGCGTATTGCAGTCCTATTGTCATCAGCAGCGATAAATCTCTGGCGACTAGCTTGTGCCGGCTGCAAACAGACATGAAGACGCGCCGAGACCGGCTAGGCGTGCAGCGAAGATAAGCGAATCTCACCACGGAGAGTGTTCAATTAAGATAGCGGCCAAAGACGAAATCTCCACGCGCTCAGCTGATCGGTAAACTACGAGCCTCATGAAGCCCTGCAGCAGCAGCAGATACATTGTCCGAGCGCTCTATCGATCTATCCACCAAGCATTCCACGCGCTTCTCACCTTATTTCACCATTCCCCCGTTTTTCATCTGAATGTTCCCGTGAAATCTCCTACCGCCATCTTGTTTTCTCTGTTATCTTTTGACCCCGTTTCAATTACTCAGCGGCGGTAACGTCGAACGTGACACGAGTCAAGTTACATAATACTTAGACTTGAAGATAGATTACTATATTACGAGTCAGGAGAGGAAATACAGTCGTGGCTTTGCTGCATAGGCTTCGTATTGCAATGAGCGGCTCACGTAGGCTCAGAACGACGCTGCGCTTTGATTCCCATGCGATCAAATCGTAAAAGAGGAATACTGCTTTTAAACTACTATTCGATAGAAACATAGGGTGTATAGAGCTAGTGTGTCGGTGCGCTTATGTGTGTGCGTGCATGCACGCGCGCGTGTGTCGCCATAGCCGCGTGTGCAGCTGTTGCTCGGTTCGTGTATCATCTCCGTGTCCATGCGACGCGAAGACGTCATTTACAGCTGTCTTTACCCAGATTCCTGAAATGAAAAAAATAATCTCTAATGTTGTCGGAGCTCAACAACCGAAATAATGATGTAAGCATCCAATCTTGCTTTTTTATACACGTATATATATAATATGTAATATATATATATATATATATATATATATATATATATATTGTGTGTGTGTGTGTGTGTGTGTGTGTGTGTGTGTGTGTGTGTGTGTGTGTGTGTGTGTGTGTGTGTGTGTGTGTGTGTGCGTGTGCGTCGTCGTACCCGTCCGCCCCCG